ATTACATTATTGAATAAAATTATATTATTTTTTATAATTATTTATTATATTATAATGTATGATTTTGTGTTTCAAACTTTATCATACCTGTGATGCCTACTAGACTCTTGTTTGAACAGATTTAAGTGAATAATTCCTAAGAATTACAGGCCTACAATATAAGACAACAAATTTCCATGCAAAACAATGTACCGCTTTGGGTACAAAATTACTGGCATAATCAGACCGCCAGGGAGGATAGTTACCTGGGGGGGCCTCTTTCTACCCATGCCTGACTCCTGCTCTTTTACGCTCAGCTTGGGACATCTGCCCAGTTCCATCAGCCCACCTGCATGGACTGGCCAGGGTTTCTTAGGCTGAATCCAAGCCTGATTGGTCTGGCCTGGGTCAGGTGTCCAGTCCTGATCCAATCAATTAAGGCTGGAGACAGAGTGGTCCCATCCCTGGCTGAGGGTGGGGGAGACAGGAGATTGCTGAGAGCTGGGAGGGCCCCAGAAGAGGTCAGCCACAGAGAGGCCAGAGGGGGCCCCACTGAGTGAGGTGCTGAGGAGCAACCAGGAGCTGGTGGGGTGCACAGGGGGAGGGGGATGTGCCCGTAGGCCACGTGGGACTGTGCGATGGTCACCAGGGAGTTCAGGGCCATACAGATGCTGGTGTGGTGTGTCGTGTTTTTCCCTCCTCACACTAAGGAGAAAGATCCTCCTAGAAAGAGCATCATTCTCTTTTACTGCGCCCTATTTTCCCTTTGCCGTCCTTGTCCCAGCTGTAATGGTTTAATTCATGTGTCTGATGCCTTGATGGTCGTTGGGAATGTCAGTCCCAGAAAGCAGGAGCCCCATCTGTCCCCTTCCCTGCTGTCATCCCTGTGGGAGTGGGGAAGTGTTGCTGGGCCATGGAAGGTGCCCAGTTCATGTGTGGAATGAATGAATGAATGAATGAATGAATGCTAATGGGGAGCAGAAGTCTCAAAACAGAAGGAAGTAACAACCCTGATTTTATATTTTATTCAAGCAGTTGTTATAAGCATACTCATTTGCACACTTAGTACCTGCGGGGCCCTGTGCTGACAGCTTCTCACCTGTATTCTTATTTGACCTCCAACCACAACCTTCGAGGAGGTGGAGTTGCTCTCACGTTTTACAGAGGAGAGAAGGAGACCCTCATGCAAAATGCCCGGGTCACACAGCTGGTAAAGGGCAAAGCTGGCACTTGTGGCCCCGCCCTTCTGCCTCCAGGTCCCTGCTCAGAGCCACATGCCATCTGCCCTACTGCACGCAAACCCTGTGCTGGGTGCCGCGGCCTGGGGCTCACAATCAGGAAGGGCTCACAAATCAGGAAGGGCTCACAATGACTCAGGAAGATAGATGTATAAACAGTTAAAACCCAAAGGGTGTAGTTGATCAGGTGAATGCACTGGCCGGTTGCAGGGGGTGGGGTGTGGGCCTCGCTGCCCAAAGCCAGTCCCCAGGCTCTAGGTTTAAACATTAGAGTTAAGACACCATTTTACAGCTCATGCAGCTCCTACCTGGGTGTGTGCAAGAGATTGCCCTTGGGGTTTGTCCCCGATCCCGATGAGACCTTGGGCACAAGTCTCCCTTCTAGAGTATTCTAGCAGATGCCAGGGAAGCCACACTGTGGGGTGAGTCAGGGCACACACTCGACACACACAGACCTGGCCCATGTTCTAACTCTGCCTTCCCACAGGTTATGTGACGGCGGGGCACTTGTCCTTTTAGGGCCTCAGTTTCATCTTCTGTAAAATAAGGATGATAGTAATCCTGCTTCCCAGAGTGGCCGTGAGGGTTAAAAGAGACAGGAGTGGGAGCTCTTAGCACAGAGCTGGCTCATAGAGAGCATGAAGGACTATGATTTACTTCTGTCATCATCATGATGCTTGTCCGGGGGCCAGGGACAAGCCTGGTCTATCGCTGCTGCGTCCCGGGGGCCTGCACTGGCTTGGCACATAGTAGGTGCTCAGAATCCACTGCTAGTGCCGGGGGTCTCCTCTGGACAGCTGGTTGAGGCCTCCTGATGCCTCTTCTGCCAAAAGGACAGCAGCAGAACAACATAACTCACAAAGAAGGAGCGATTTTGTAGCCTTCTCAGCCTCTCTTTTCCCCGTTCAGTCCGGATCTATTTCCTTATTGACTTCAGTGACATAACCTGCCAGCTTGTCTCTGGCAGAGCTGGTGGCAAAATGACAGAGAGCCATGGTCTCGATGCCCTTTGCTTTGGCTTTTATCTGCCTGATTTCATGCAGCTGGAGACCCGGCCACCACTCAGCTGGTGAAATGATATTAAATCACAGGATGCAGGAAGGTGACAGGAGAGTACTTGTCACCCACCTGTGCCTGTCCTCTGGCTCCCTAACCCTGGGAGGGGAGGGACTGTCCTTGCCTGTCTCACTGTGTTCTGAGGACCTGGCTCCTTTCCCCAGTCCTCCTGCAGAATCACGCTGTGGCCCCGGATGCGATTTTCTCAGGATGAGAGTGGATGTGGCTGGGGGTGCTCACCCACAGCTGGTCCAGCAGCCTCTCACCATAGCAGTGCATAGAGCCCAGGGGACTAGACACAGCACAGGCAGCTGCTGGGCCAAGGCTAGTTTTCCTTTTTAATCTTCGTTAGTATTTATTTTTTATTTTGAGAGTGTCTTGTGTCTTAGCTCAGACTGCCATAACAAATAGCATAGACTGGGTAACTTAAACAACAGTAATTTGTTTCTCACAGTCTCACGGTTTTGGAGGCTGGAAGCCTGAGATCAGGATGCCAGCATGGTTGGGTTGAGCGCCAGCACTCTTGTATCTCTTATGGGCACTAACCTCCTTGTGAGGGCCCGCCCTCACGACCTTATGTAACCCTAAATATCCCTCGAAGGCCTCATCTCCAGATACCATCACTTTGGGGTTAGAGCTTCAACATATGAATTTTGGGGGACACAATTCAGTCCACTGTAGAGAATAGCACAATCTCACATGTTAAACATTCAAAGAAACCATCGGAGTGTATAAAGAGTCAAAGTGCACTGTTCCCCTCCCTTAGTCCCAAATCCATGTCCCAGATGAAACAAACCCTGGGAAAACTAATGATAATGATGGTTCATGTCTTCTGTGAAAAGCCTTTTGGCTATTTTACCTCAATTAAGCCTCACATCAACCGCACGAGGTAGACATGGTGGACACTCTTGTTTAAAGGATGGGTAAACTGAGGCTCAGAGCAATGGCATGAACCCCATAGCTCACTACTGACAGCTAGCAGACAGACTGACACCCAGGTCTGTGCACTTCCAAAGCCCCACTCTTTCCACTATGGCTTGTATTTTTCTACGCATAGTCTTAATTTTTTTTTTCTTCTCAAAATAGGAATACTTGGCACGCACTAATTTGTAATTTGCTTTTCATTTGAGAATATCTCCCCACGTAAGTTTGCTCTCTAATGGCTTCCTGGTGTTTTGTTGTGACAGACAAATCATTTATTTTAGTCAGTTCCCTTTAGATGGATTTGTATTTAGGTGGCTTTTTTTTTTCCTCTATTACAAGCAACACTGCCTGCCATTTTATTTCCCCTCATTCATTTGAAATTAGTTCTCTTATTGTTATATATTCAAGCAGGCCATATAAAGAAAAGAACGTCTGTTTCACCTTCCTCTCCAAACTTCACCCCACAGTAACCACTGATATTAGAGCTCTATGCAGCCCTATACATTTATACACACACATATATATGCATGCTTAGCTATATATGTTCTGTATGTTTTAAAACAGATAAAAAGTATCATGTATGTATTTGTGCATCTAGCTTTTTAATCATTTAACAATAGCATCCACATCTTTCTATGTCAGTACATATAGAGGGACCTCATTTGTTTTAATGAAGTAATTTATCTCAAATGTTTGGATACTTCTCCTTTCTTCCTCCCCTCCACTCTCCCTCTCCTTCTCCCTCTCCCTCTCCTTCTCCCTCTCCTTCTCTCTCTCTCCCCCTTGCTTTCATTCTTTCTTTCACCAGTCCCCATTTCCCTACGAATGGGTATTGGGGTTGTTTCCATTTTGTTCCCTAGGTAAACATCCGTACACTGTCATAAACATCCTGTGTGTATCTCACTGTGTGCACACGGGAGCATTTCTCTAGTATCGATACCTAGACCTGGAATTTGCTGGGTTGAAGGGTTTGCCAGGCCAGGTCTTGTCTGAGGCCCCAAGAGGCTTGGGAAGGTCAGGAGTGTGAGTCCCAGGTGGAAGTTTGCTGCAGGCAGCACGAGGCGAGATCTGCCCTTTACCTACTAGTGTACTGTCTGAGGCCATGTTCTTGGGCAGCTCCTGGGGGGGGGCACTGCCAGCTCTGTGCTATAGGTCTGTTTTTATACAAGGTAAGATCTCCCGGCTGTGTAGCCATTGGACAGAGTGCTGCCCATAAGCCTTTTAGCTCCTTCCCTGGAATTTTCTCCTGGAGCTATTGGGAGGAGCTTCTGATTGCCTTTGGGATTATGAGGTTGGAAACAGCTTCGGGCTGCTTTCTGTCCTCATGAGGGCATGGCTTGGGTACAGTGAGAGAAATGGAGACCACTTTGCAGAAAGAGGTGGAGACAAGCAGATATGATTGCTGAGTATGGAATCCTGATGCTGGGAGACCCTGATTCTGGCTGTTCCTCCTTCTGCCCCAAGAGCTCCCGAGCCTGTTCTCCATTCCTGGAGCCAACCATTCTTCTTCTAAAGGCCCCCGCTTCTGACCTGGAGTCTGTCACTGCAGCCCAGAGTCCTGATGGATACCGGGAGTGGGCTCATGTGGTCATGAGGACTTTGGATGGACAGGAAGTGGGTTCCCTCTGACCTGACTTGCTTCCTGACTTCAGGGTCTCCTCCTGTGGCATGCCCTTCAATATGCCCACTTTGTCTTTTAAAGCACAGGTCTGGCTTGGTCACACCCTTGCTTACCCCTCTGTAGTTGCTCCTTGCTCTTAGGGTCAAGGGCATATTCTTCAGCCTGGTGTGTGGTGTCCTGGGGGGGTGGGGCTGGCTCCTGACTGCCTCATTTCTCACTCCTCATGCCTGCAAACCTTACACTCTGGCTGGAACAATCTTCCATCAGTTCCATGGTGGCTATTCTCTCCTCCAAGCCTTGACACATCCTGTGTCCTCAGCCTGTGCACTTTTCTTCCTCTTTTCTACCTCACCCCCACCCCCAATTTCTGGATGCCTTCTCTTTCAGGCTTGAAATCAAATGCCCCTTCCTCCAGGAAACTGCTTTGCTCCCCTCCTGTGTGCTCAGCATCCTATGTCGTAAAGCATCATCCCGCTGTGTGATGATGTGGACCCTCTGGTAGGCTGGCTCTCCATGAAGACAAGCTTTGTGTCCACCAGGCACGTCACTGTGCCCCTCGCTCCTGGCACAGCGCTCAGTAAGTACCCCTGTCGTCAGTCAATGAATGAGTCCGGTCAACAGACACAGGGCAGGTTGAAACACCGCAGCTTTGGAAATAAGACAGACCCGGGATCAAAACTTGACACCGAACTAAATATGTCATGCAGGTCACTTTCTTTTCAGTACGAATGTGAACATTATTACTCACTTCTCTTGGGGAAAAGATAATGAGTGAGAGTGTTTGGCAAATCCATTATGCAAATATTAATCTTTAAAGTAATACTGCTTTGGTAAGATTCAATGTGCATAAATTGTTCTGACAAACCTGATAGTGTTTTTTTTGGATGAAAATGCAAACATCTCAGGTATAGGGCAGGGGAAAACAGAAATACACATTTAATGAAATGCTACCATGTGCCAAGCTCATATCGGGCATATCCTAGTATTGATTTTCTACGTAAAGAACTTCACAACTTTGGTTAGGTTTATTATTTATCTTAGAAAGTTTGCAAAAAAAAATTTCTATTGTTCATGGCACCTTTATCTCTGTATATTGATTTCGAGCCCAGCAAACGTGTTAAACTCTTTTATTATCTGCAGGCTCTTGTGGGTTTTCTAAAGAGGCAAGCACAGCATATGCAAATAAAGACAGTTTTTCCTCTTCCTTTCCAATCTGTATACCTTTTATTTCTTTTTTCTTGTTAAGTGCTCTAGAAACGACCTCCCATGTTGAATAGTAATGGTGTTAGCAGCCATCCTTATCTTGTTCCTCATCGTAAAGGAAAAGCTTTCAACGTTTTACCACAAAATATGTTTCCTGTAGGCTGTATTTTTTTTTGGTGGAATCTCTTTTATTCCTTTCATTCCTACTTTGCTAAGAGTTTTATCAAATGAATAGATGTCAACTTTTTTCAAATGCTTTTTCTGCAACTATTCAGATGATCACATGCTTTTAAAAGATATCTTAATGTGATGGAATTGCATTAATTTATATAGTAATACTTAAACTAACATCATATTTCCTAGGAAAAACCGAACTTGGTCATAATATATTATCTAATTTATTTGTTGCTACAATTTTCGTGATAATTTAAAAAAACCACTTTTCTCATACATTTTTGAGTGAGTATCTTTCATAATTTTCAATCTTTGGTCTGACTTTGGACTCGAAGTTTTATTTGTCTCATAAATGGAAGTATTAGTGTAAAACTGGAATAATCTCTGTCTTAAATGTTTGTGAGAACTCACTTATAAAACCACATAGGTAAAGTGTTTTATTTGTGGGAAGATGTTTACTATCACTTAATTTCATTAATGGTTACAAAATTATGGAAAATTTATAAATTTCTTTTTGGGTCAGCGTAGATAGTTCTATTTTTCTAGAAATATATTCAATTAACCTAAAATGTCAAATTTGTTAGCATAAAGTTATTCAGACAATTTCCCGTGTATTATATCTCTACAATTTCTGTAGTCATTTCCTTTTTCCATTGTTATATAAATTGCCTGTGACCTCACTCTCTATTTTTGTCCAATTTTGCCAGTCTTCTTTTTAAAAAAATTTTTTCAGAGAGCGAACTTTTGGCTTTGTCAATCCTATTATACGTAGGATTTAACCTCTCTGTGCCTCAGATTCTTCATGTGACTCTGGGAGATACAGTCCTCAAGGTAAATATAAAAAAAAAAAAGAATTTAGGAGGCCAGAGGATGGTTGGAGGTTGGCCATGGCTGTCTACCAGGGCAGCGATGGAGGAGGGTACAGGGAAGGGCAGCTTGTGCTCCTAGGTGGTGACCAGAGGGGAGAGGAATTCTCTGTGTACCGTGTAGCTGTGGCCTGAATGTTCATGTCCCCCTCAAATTCATGTGTTAAAATCTAATCCTCAATGTGATAATATCAGGAGGTGGGGGCCTTTGGAAAGTGATTAGGTTAGCAGAGTGGAACCCTCATGAATTGGATGGGTTTCCTTTTAAAAGATACCCCAGAGAGCTCCCTCACTCCTTCCACCATGTGAGGACACAGCAAGAAGATGATTGTTCATGAGCCAGGAAGCGGGCTCTCACCAGACACCAAATCTGCCGGCACTTTGACCTTGGACTCCCCAGTCCCTAGAACTGTGAGAAGTAAACGTCTGTTGATTATAAGCCACCCAGTCGATGATACTTTTTGTTATAGCAGCACCCATGGACCGAGACACACATGGAGCCACAGATATTTACTGAGCCTCTAGCAATTTTATTGGGAGCCCTTCTTGGAAGGAGGGGATCCCAGTACTGCGGAGGACTCAACAAGGAGGACATTTGGGGTTGGGATGGGGCACAAAAGGTATGCCAGAGAGAGCATACCCTTTACCAGGGAACTGCATGGTTCCTAAACATACCTACTAGTGCCGCAGGAAAAAGCTGGCATGCATGTGCCCCCCATGACCAGGACCCCCACGGCTAGGGGAGGACCACAAACAGCACCAGCCAAGTAAAAAATGGCTCCCCCTTTCCTTAAAGGGTTCCCTTCTTCTACCAGGACCCTGGAGGGGAAGGAAGAGGGGATGAGCAGACCATGCACCCCACCTCCCCCATCCCTTCCCAGCTGGGGTCCCTGATCCCTGGTGAGACCTGAGCTGAAGAGAGGGAACCTTGTTGGGCCTTAAACCTCAAAGCCGCTGTTGTGGCTGGTGGTGAGTGCAAGGTTAACACAATTGCCTGTGATGTCCTTTGGTAAACAGGGGCGCAGATGGAGCCTATTTAAATGTAACACTAGGGGAATAGATTGTTTCCTATTTCCTATCTCTGAGCTTCAGTTTCTTCCTTCATTGCCTGCCAGATCCCCCTGGTGCCAGCCAACCCCATGACACAGACCCTGTACTTACTCATGTGTGCTGGGAGCAGACCCGATCTGCCTCCCAGGAAAGCTGCAATCCAGCCTACCCATCACTAGCCTGTTGTGTGTCCTTGGGCTGGTGTCTCTCCCTCTCAGGGCCTTGGTTTCTCTATTTGTCCAATGAGGGGATTCTACTCAGTGGTCTCCCCAGCATCCCCCTTCCCCTCTCCCTAGCTTTTCGATTCTCTGATTCTCAAATGCCCATCTCGGCAGACAAACACCGCCCCCGTGGTACCACCTCACTGCAGGAAGAGGCCACTGCAGGAGCGGTGGCATTGAAAGCCTGGGCACATCGCAGTTCGTGGTTAATTATTCTGGCTTCTGTTTACTGCCTCCCCAATTCCCCAAGCAGACATCTCCATTACTAGAAGTAATTTACTTGGCACCAGCTTCCACTGTGAAGAGTGGAAGCTTCGAGACGTGCCCCCACTCTGGCCCCCACAACCTGGAGGGGGGTGAAGAGTGTCCCAGTACTTTGAGGCTCTCAGGCCTGGCCCTTTCAATTCACAGCACACCCCAACCTCTTCTGGGACTCCTCAGACTGTCTGACACTGAGCATTACCTCAGCAGCCCATGGACCTGGGCTGGTCACGCACTGGCCCTCACTCCCTGTGTGACCTCAGGCAGGACATGCACACTCCCCATGCACATCAGAGCTCAATCTTCAGCCCCAACTACTCACACCACACAGCTCTCCAGGCCCCACAGGGAAGGGGAGCTAGAAATGAAATCCACTTCGGGCTCCCTGCCTAGAAGAGGTGCAGCCTTAAGCCTTCTGGTTTTGCAAAAGTGATGGGACTTTGAGGCAAAGTCCTGGGCAACCTCAGACAAGTGCTTGTTTCTGAGCAAAGAACCCTGCCTGCGGGCAAGGCTCTGGGACAGGGTGGCCTCTCTTCGCACTCTCCCTTGGAATTTCCCTTGGCAGCTGAGACAGCACTGGTCACCTGGGTTGGAGTTTTCCTGCTGCCATTGCCCTCTGGGCCTGGCCCCGGGGGGCCCTCATGCTCCCTGGGCCCTGGATAGAACCCGGGTCTGGGGAGATGGCGCCTCGGCCAGCCCAGCATGAGCCCAGGAGAGGCCTCTGACTCACGAACCGCTGGATTTGGGTGGATTTAGTAACTGGGTTTCCAATTGATTTCCAGACAGAGGGGGCATGGAACTATAAGCTCCTAAAACAGCTTACAGCCTTGCTGCCGATCTGCACCAGGCAGTGGGCAGGATGTTATCGGCGTGACCCAGGACCCAGAAAGAAAAAGCTAATGAGGGTAAGAAAAATCCATCTGTGTGGCGTTTTTCCTGGGCCCTTGAAGATGTAGCTTCCTCTTCTGATGCACATGCGCAGCTTTGCATATGCCTTGGGGAGCTGGTAGAGAGTATGTGGGCTCCTCCCCCTCTCCCAGCTCATGGAGGAGGCTCTGGCATTGCAAAGAATTAAAGTCTGCAAAGTTCCTGGCAGGCAAAGTTCAGAACTTGGCAATCTCCAGAGACCTGGGGGCTGGCTGCCCTGGTTGTCGTCCCTACAGGCCCCAGCTGGCCCCTGTCTCTGCAGTCCCCTCCCCTCTGCTGGGCCCGTTGGTCCCACTGCAGACTCAGAACAAGGAAGGGAGGAGGGAACCTCCTTTGCTGTGAGTTTGGGAACAGGGAGCCCTGGGTGTGAAGTCTATGGGATTCTTTCACTTACTGGCCTTGGGACCTTGGGTCAGATCCTTACGCACCTCAGTTTCCCCGCCTGTGAAATGGGAAATGAGGAGATTTTCCTCCTAGGACAGCTGTGGGACGAGATGAGGTGTAAAGGGAGCAGCACACTGCTTGGCACATGGTGGGTGGCACACGGGTCCGGACATGAGGGATCCGAGGTAAAGAGCTGACTCCATTGTCTGTGTGACCTTGGACACGTGCCGCAGCATCTCTGAGCCTCAGTGTGCTCATCTGTTAAATGGGGAGGATGGAAAGCTGTCAGACATGACTGAGAGACTGTCACAGGCCAGGCACTGTTCTACATGCGTTACCACAGTCTACAAGGTCGAGATCATTGTTAGCCCCATTTTACAGGCAAGGGAACTGAGGCTCAAATAGGGGACATAACTTGCTCAAGGTCAACTAGGAAGTGGTGGAGGAAGGATTTGAACCAGGGATTCTGGCTCCAGAGCTCACATTCTTGC